GGAGCAGTTAGTTCCTGGATCCTATGGGAAAGAAAGGCAAGTGTTAATTTATCTGAGTTACGGACACACGAGAATGTGCAGACTCAAGAAGGCACACCATCATTTTCTCTGCTCTACACTACACTATACTACTGCTCTGCTACTTTGCGCTACCCAGTTAAGGTTAAAGTTTTTACAATCATGGATGGATTTGTGCCGTTTCACTTCAGTTGGATAAGATCGGCCCCTCCTGGCCTTGACTGGAAAGCAAAAGTTACCACAAAAACCTACAAGAGCTGCCAAAAAATGTCTCAACAAGACAAATTATGTATAAATCTGAGACTGGATTTAGAGCAACTGGAGTTCAGTGAAAATCCTGAGGTGCATTAAACATAAAAATAAACTTACATACTGTGTGTCTGTGTGTGTGTGATTGCATTCGTAAAAATTTTATTTGCAGGTGTAAGATGTTGTGCAGTGTATAAACTGGCCCTTGTAGTCTGTGTTGTTGCACTACCTCAGCAACATTTCCTGGGCCAACCTGTCGTGCCTGAAATCACCGTCACCACCCCACGCACACTACATCACTGTGTGTGTTTGTGTATGTCTGCGGCGCTTTGTCCATTCACTCCCGCTAACAATTCTGCCATTCAAACGGCAGCACACTTCGTTAAGGAGCTGCTTTATGGTGAAACACTATTATGTGTGTGAAGCCGCCTAGAAAAGACAGATGTGTTTGCAGGGAAATATACTTTATGCATGCATGTGTCTGTGTGTGTGTGTGTGTGTGTGAGTGTGCAGCTGTTTCATGTGCTTGAGTAAACAAGAAATGGCGGAAAATGTAAAACACAAGTCATGTAACAGAATCACTTCCACTTGTCCTTCATGTATGCGGATGTGTTGTATTTGTGTTTAGGTAGCATAGAGTCTGTGTTTGGCTTCTACTAACAGATCCCAATAGGTGTTACTTCCACCTGAAGCGGTCTCACTTCTTCAACATAATAAATGCACACACACACACACTGACAGACAACAATCTCTTATTGATTCAGTGTGGCTGGTTGCTTGCTTGCTGCTAAAGCCGATGGCATGTCGGGGCACAGCCCTGGAAACATCGGTCAATGATGTCACTTGAGTAAGAATAGACCCGAGAGATTAAACACAAATGCACAAACGGAGAACACAGAACAGCCGCCATGGCACGGGTAATTTGAGAGGAGATGAAGAAGCGATACCGTCCTCCTCGTTGTGATACGGTCAATTAATGCCCAAATGTGAGAAAGTTTAACTCTTTTTTTATTCGTGTTCATACAGTCCACTACACAACAATCAGGCTTGAAGATGTGGAAACAAATATCGTCCAGATGTTGAATGAATGACAGCAAGAACAGCCAGTTCAGTGCAACACAACAAAAGGCTGAAACAAGAGAATCACACACAGTTTGAAGCACATGAGAGCGTGTAACGGCCCATGAAAGCACATTGATGATGTTCTGTAAGTTACTCACCAAGAACGAATTAGAAAAACATCAAAAATCTGATTAAGAAAACACAACATTTTGCTACAGACTCAAGCTCTGTTGAGCAGCATTCAAAGAGAAGCCAACTAAATATTGCCATAAATAATTTTTAATACCCAACAAAATATGGAAATATGCTTAACTGCCACCGCTGTAACCGCAACATGCACTCAAGACGTGGCAAGATATGAAAGCAAAAAAACCAAAATAGCTGTCACCACTAAAAATTCTTGGGGGAAACACAGAACTCACAATTACACGAACAGACCGATCGCTCTGTTGTATAATATAAAACTTCCACGAAACACAGGGAAGGAAACACAGACAGCCTGACAGTTAACATTGAACATGCAGGCGTACGAACGTGAAGGCAGGGAGCAGAGACGTGTTCAATAGCAGCTGCTCTCAAACTGTGAAACTCAACGGCTGCTGGGTCTCCGCAAAGACGGGAACTCACACGTATACACATACGGGCCGGCAAGCGTTTCCATTTGTTGCGCGGGAGGTCGGTCGATGTATGACTTGTCATGTTTGTCACAGTCACACTTTGAATGTCTTTGTTGCATCAACTTAATCTCTGACCCTCACACATTTCAGCTATGAAGAAACATTCCTGTGTGGCAAAGTGTCTGATAAAGTGCAAAGTCGCTCTGTTGTAAGTGAGAAAAATGCCCAAC